TGAATTTTTAGTTATAAATTATTTTTTGTTTATAAGTGAAATTCTTAGTTCTTGTTTACATGTAAGTAAATTTATGTAATTCAATTTAATTAATGATTTCTTAATTCGTAAATTGGTGAATAAGCAATAGGGTCTAAACCCACATAGGGTATTAATTTATAAGATTGAATAAAAGAGGATAATCCCGATTAATTTAATCTGAATAGTGCGGGATAAGAATTATAAATGACTATTTTATCTTTATCTGGTCTAATAAACACATCAAACGTGTCCTTAAGCGTCAACTCCATTTGCCGATCATTGTTTTTTATGTATTTATTTTGATTTAATGCTCGTGATAGAGTTGTCACGACAAAATACGATGCAAAATTAATTTTGCGACAAAACTTTAAATGGCTATATTTTAACAAAGTAAGTGCTTGTTTGCATGTTTGGTAAATATTAAAATTCAATTAAAATTGAAAATATAATTGTTATTGGGTCTCACTCGTCTAATAAAAGTCAACAATAACGACTAATTTTTCAATTTTAATCAGATTTTAATCTCTATTGAACACTCCAAATATTTAGTCATACGATAATTGGTCTAAAAGTTTTTTTTTTTAAAGTAAATTTATGTAATTCAATTTAGTTAATATTTTCTTAATTCATAAATTGGTGAATAAGCAATAGGGTCTAAACCCACATAGGTTATTAATTTATATGATTGAATAAAAGAGGATAATCCCGATTAATTTAATCTGAATACGAATTGTACTCAGTGCGGGATAAGAATTATATATGACTTTTTTTTATCTTTACTTGGTCTAATAGACGCATCAAACGTGTCTTTAAGTGTCAACCCCATTTGCCGATCATTGTTTTTTATGTATTTATTTTGATTTATTGCTCGTGATAGAGTCGTCACGACAAAATACGATGCAAAAGTAATTTTGCGACAAAACTTTAAATGGCTATATTTTAACAAAGTGCTTGTTTGCCTGTTTGGTAAAGATTAAAATCCAATTAAAATTGAAAATATAGTCGTTATTGGATCTCACCCGTCTAATAAAAGTCAACAATAACGGTTATTTTTTTAATTTTAATCCGATTTTAATATCTACCGAACACGCCAAATATTTAGTCATACGATAATTGGTCTAAAAGTTTTTTTTTTTCTTCTTCGTTCAACCTACTTTCGCTCTCTACGAAACCAAAATTTGTTTAATTTCGTCCAGAAATAGCGACTTCTCCACTCCCGCTGTTTTGGATTTCAATTTTCCCGCCCACTTACCGCCCGCCTCCACCGCACACCGCCACGACTGGCGAAGAAAATACTCCGCAACTTCTCAAGGTATATTCGCTTCCACTAGGCACTAGCTACAAACAGAGATTTTCATCCATTTCGCTGGACGCTGCATACGTATTTTTATGTGCAACTTTTGCATGATTCCGAATTTAGTTGGATATGAATTGAAATAGCTTCCTTGAACAAATTTTATCTTTTTCAGTTGGTCTATTTATATATTGTGCGTGTTTTCCTGAGTGTTAATTGCGTTTAACTTTTGGCAATTAAATTTGTTGGATGCGAAGTTATTTTTCTCTGTGATAGTAATTTAGTTTCTCTTTAATGCGTTTCCTACGATATTTTTCCGGTAACTATTGATAGTTTATTACATTATTATACAATCGAGAAGATTATTGCTAGGTTTAGAATAATTATTTCCCATGTTTCATATTTCTGCTTGATTTGTTATCATGGATCCTGTGATGAGTCCAAGATGATGTTCAACCCCGTTCGAATGACGCTTTTACGAGTCATTGCTAATGAGTGGAGAAATTTTAGGGTTACAATTTTTTTCTGTCAAATCATCTAAATAAATAATAGTTTGCTAATTCTATTATCGTTGCACTGGATTGAAGGGCTGATCAATGTAATCTTCACGAATTTGATGTAGATCTTTGTTTTCAACATTACGCCTCATAGTGTTGGTTCTGAAATTTGTTATGGAGTGTGTCGTTTGTGTGTGGCTTTGGGGAGAAATTATAGTCAATTAAATTCTTTGTTATCGATTATTTAGTTGAAAATTTTGTTGTAGATAATCTCCTCTACCATCAACTACAGGCTGTTTGTGAAAATTACCCAATAAGGCCCATTTCACTGTTGATAAGAGAAAATATAGCTTGTCAAGCTGAAGAAGTTTGCTTACTGCATGCTTTGTTTTGAATTTAGACAACCATTTTGTTTGTGCTAGTGAAGATACAAGAAATATATGCTAAATAAATCCCCATGCGATAGATTGATATACTGAGCTCTATGCAATACTTTCTCGAACCCTGTAAGGACAAAAGAAATTAAGAGCCTTATAGTTGTTGCTTATAATGGAGGCAATACCTCTCATTACAAACTTTTTAAAATTTTGCACCTTGTAATGGAGGTAGTATCTCCATGTTTATGGCTTTGCAAAACTTCTAATTCTCCTCCTTGAGTAATATTGGAGGTAAAGCAGTTGATCCCTCCTCCTTATATACTCTCTTGTCACATCTAATCTTATGGTAGCTGTTCGCTAAGCTCCCGACCTAGCACAACTGCACAAGTGGATTTTGATAAATATAAGATGAGGAACCTTAATAGTATCTCACTCTTGACCCACCCCCACCCCCACCCTCAACAAATGGTCTTCTCTCTATATGGCTACTGGAGACTAATCTAAAATGGGAAAATAGAGGTCTTCTGTGATTCTTCTACTTTATTTTCTTATTTACTCTCTATAGCAATCAAATAATTTTTTTGGCCAAGTCTCTATTGGAGACCACTTCTGATAAATATTTGTTCATGTGACTAGATGTGCAATTTGCAGTTCTCTTCTTTTTTTCCTTCAGACAAATAATGCTTATTCAAATTACTGTTTTTGTACACTGAATAGGTCGTGGCATATTCTGAACTTGCAAGTTCCAAGATGAAACCATTTCAAGTTAACGATGCTTCAAGAAAACCTAGGATTCTGCTTGCCGCCAGTGGAAGTGTGGCTGCAATAAAATTTGCTAATCTGTGCCAAAGTTTTTCTCAATGGGAAGTTCAAGCTGTTGCCACTTCGGCATCTATGCGTTTTGTAGACCTAAAATCATTTCCCAAGAATGTGCCCCTTTTCACCGATCAGGATGAATGGTCCGCTTGGACGAATATAGGCCACGGAGTGCTACACATTGAGCTCTGCAGGTGGGCTGATATCATGGTCATTGCCCCGTTGTCGGCAAACACACTTGGGAAGGTAAATATATTGTGCTTATTGTCCTTTTTTCAAATTATTTGTTCAGGGCATGATTCATTTATTATTTTAGAAATATGGGCTGCTTAGAGAGCAATATACTGGAAATATTTGCTAGATCTTGAAAATGAGTTCTCTATGAAATTTCCTCTATATCAACCATCACAGTTAAAAGCCTCATAATGTACATAATGTGCATGAGTATTTTGGACTGCATAACGAACAAGATTTTAGTTTTTTTTCCTTCAATGGTATTATTAAGTACTATCCAATACCAAACATACACATGTTTTAGCATGAAACATAAGAGTAGAACTTCACTAAACATACCTGCAGTCGAATTGAATACTTTGTTTGCTGTCTTTAATATTGTTTTGCATCATGTTTTAGTCTTTGAATACTGCTTCTCATTATGTTATCCTGGCCTTTTTTCTTGCACATCAAACACGGCTTGATCCAATTGTGGGTTTTATGTCTGTTTCCTAATTGTAGATTGCTGGGGGATTAGGCGATAACTTGTTGACATGCATCGTCCGGGCATGGGACTATAGTAAACCACTCTTTGTCTCACCATCCATGAACACCTTCATGTGGAATAACCCTTTCACAAAACGCCATCTTGAGGCAATTGATAAGCTTGGAATTTGCCTCATCCCGCCAGCAACAAAGAAGATACGCCCAGCTGATTATGGGAAGATAAAAGACATCTCCAGCGAAGATTATGGGAATGGTGTGATGGGCGACACGGAGCACATTTTCTCAACTATAACATTCTTCTTTGCGGCATGGAAAAAATCAACTGGTGGCAACATTCAGTGACTACTCCTTCACGAGATAAGAAACTTACTTTACTGCTTATTCAATTGTAGAGATGATAAACATGTAGTTAACAAATTGTGGCCGTCTGATTCAATACTGCATATGCTGACGTTCAATGCCATACCAAAGGCTTTCTTAGTACGAGTACAGTATATTTCATATCCATTATCCACAAACAGATAGATTACATTTCTACTGATGAAGATTTCTCATTCCTAATATGGAAAACTGCACTCCAAAATTACGCACCTATTTTCGACAAATATTTACGTTTTTGTCCGTTAATTTGATAAGTTCTGGCTCTGGTTAGAATTTTTTTTTTTTCATATAAATGGACTAGTCTCGTTGAATTATGTAAACATTACGTTGTGATATTTAGTTCAAGTGTTATGCTTCCACTATCTGACAGTACTGTTTAAAATTTAAATTAATTGAAAAATTCTGTCATCTCATAATTAATAGAAAATTACCGTCCATTTATCTCGTTTTAATACAAATTTTCTGTGACAGTACTTATGGCAAGTTTGCCTGAAAAAACTGGATTGATCACGAATGAAAATTTGAAGGATTGTTGAGGACGAAAATTATGGTCAGGCACTATTATTCACTTTCTAGGAAGAATGAGGTACTTTTTCACTTTTTCGGGGTAATTGGTACAAAACATTTTTATTTTTTGCCGATTACGCATAAATTATTTTCATCTTTCCAATATAGCTCATTTCACACTCAGATCAAGCAAACATTGTGTAAATCAATTATATCATACATTAATGTCCTATAAAATAACAAATTTATCATCCTCTTTAAATAAACAAAAAGTGAGAAATTATTACAGTTAGTGTTCCAAAATTTTCAAAAAGTGCAAATAAGTCCCAATAAAAACAATTTAAAAGGATAAAAAAGGGATTTTTTTCTTCTCCGACCAACTAATCTCCCCTTCCACCACCACCACCACCACCACCTCCCTCCCCTCGTAAAATTCCAGATACCAATTACCCAAGCCACGAACTTCTTTCATGATTACATGAGACTTGAGATTGCACCAAGGCAATCCTATCATTCAACCCAAAATTATCCTAAACCCCTTCAAATTCCGTGGCTGGGTTTGCAAGCTTTTCATCCAAATCCAATCCCTACATTGATAATTTCTATTAAAATTTTCAGATCTTAATTTTCATGTATGTATATGGGTTTGCGATATGTTATGGTGAATGAAGGTCGATAGAGCTATTCCAGATGGCCTATTGAGCCACCAGCAATGCCATAATCGTCACAATATGTTTCATTTTATCTGGCACCAGAAGTTTTCTACGATAAATTTCTCTTCTTTTATTACACTGCTGCTAGCATGTGCAGATGTCTATCAGATAAAGCAATTAGCCATGACATGCATAGACACCTCAACAAACGAATAGGTAGGGATTTTGTCAAAGACCAAAGATCACAGTGCAAACTGATCGCATCATTTTCCTATAATTCCAAGAAAAAGAAAAAAACATTCAAGATTTGTAAGATGAAGTACAATATAACCACCCTTCAACTCTCAGCAAACTCCTACAGAGAGACATCAAACATCCACCATAACTGCCACTTGCACCAACACTTCTAAGACATTCCAAACTGATCTTCCCGATATTTGATATCTCTCATTTGACTCCAGTAAAACATGACCTGTTTTTACAAGACAAGAGAGACCAACAACTTATTAGCTATAAGAACATCAGTAAATTATAAAAAAGACATCATTACCAAGGAGCTCTACCATCCCTAATAAGCAAATGCAAGTGCAAAGTGAAACAAGATATATGGTTCTGACTTCCAAGTAATGTCTAATGATAAGTTTCATAGTGAAGCGTTGGGCAGAATACTAAAGTACATAGACATGATTATTTTTATATTGTTGGTGGATAGTACAATCATCGTTTATTTTTTACCCCAATAACAACTTTTTTGTGTAGGTATATAAATACCAAATTTTATTTATGTACGTATACTGCTTTTCATAGAAAAAAAAATGTTATGACACTGCCAATGGGCAAAACCCAGCTATACAAATTCTCTGAGTCAGCCTAAAATACCCAAAGTCAAAGAAACAATGTAACATCAAAAGTTTCGCCCCCATGTGAAATCATCTATTAAGTTGATTGTGAGGTCCATTTCCTTTCCCTCCTAGAGCTCCCTTTACAATAAATTGACTATCAAATCTTTTGAGCTCCTGTTCTGTTTCAATCCCAAACTTGACTTTCAAGTTCAGTATCTTTGCTGCTCCTGTAATTCATGACCAACCGTTGTCTCTTGCTTGGTTGTCTCCCCTGAAAACCCAAGAATCCAACCTTCTAAATATCTTACTACCATACCCATGTCCATCTGTGCCACATATAAACGCTCTTTGATTATTGCCCACTATCTCAATTACACCATTTGCAGCATCAAACCACCCAAGTTCTTTAGCCCTCTGCACCATGCTTAAAAGTTTGAGTTGTCGCTGCAGCATCAAACCACCAGAAAGACCACTTTCCATCTTCCACTACTGCTTCCCGTATTAGGAACTGATTCTGCCTTAATGCGATAGAACCAATCAACACATTTGCCTCCTGCTTGTAGCTGAATACAGATAACCTGAAATACTTCGAAACACACGAAATGTTCACCTCCAAACTCTAATACCTTAGTGAACAATTCCCACTATCTTCAGAAAGAGGTTCAAATCCATTTCTGTTCCATCTATGACCAGAAGTTCCAGATCCAGAGAGTTGTAGCAACCAATGTACATGGTAATACCTTATAAATAATCAAATCTCTTGCATGTCTCATAATTGTTTAACTTATTTCATTCAGTAGAAACCAAAATTCTTCTAATAAGGTCCAAAGGTAAATTCCTTGGATCCATATTATATCTCGATCACGTTGACACAAACTAATTTCAAAACTCCAGAAATCCTCTTGATGGTAAATCCTTAGATTGTGCTCTATATTGAACAGTAATACTACCTAGATGAGAATTACACTGTTCAACTTTTAAAATAAATTTATAATAAAATCAAAGTGCATTATTTGCAGAACCACAGAAATGCCCTTTTAAACAGTTTATTATCTAAGCATGCTTCCCTCAACAAACCCTAAAGATGCATAAATTGGTGAAGGAGTAAGCTCGAATGACAATATATTATACCCCTAAAGAACCATGTTTCTACATGAGAGAGAGAGAGAGAGAGAGAGAGAGAGAGAGAGACCTCAATCACTAGTTGTGGTAGGAAGATAGATCCTGACTGTGTCTTTCATAGTTATTTTCCTTCTACAAGTAGGACATTTACTCTGAGCAGCTATGGCAGTCTTGATGCATGCCTTGCAGAAAATGTGACCACACTTGGTCGACACCTCCTCAACTAATGGGCCCTTGCAAACTGGACAGCTGAATTTAGGCTCCTTTTGGGGTGGCAGAATTGGCAGTGAAGGCACCACACTCTGTGCTGTGTTTTTCTGAAATGCACAAGGTAACCATTAGTCCATCTTAGATTGTCATACCAACATCTGAACCTCCGGAAGAAGGGGACAAACTGAAATACAGGCATGGCAACCAAAGAAACAGATCTCTGCAACAACAAATAAGTTGAAAAGAATATACAAAGCCCAACTCCAAAAGAAGAGTTAAAGACAGCATAAAATATCAAGGATGATGCATAATGCAAAAAAAAGATACATGAACCTAGCAGAGCTCATATCAAACAGCAAGAAAAGCATCCCAACTGCATCTCTATATAGCTTCTCAAAAAGCATTGCTTTGCGTCCACAAATATTCATGATTACACAAAAGCAACTGAATCTTGTCCTATCAGTTCGAATCCGATGCATCCGATGCCAAAATTTAAAAATAAACAGCTGTCAAATTTCAATGTAAATTTTTAAAGTAAGAAGTTAAGGTTGCTGTTAAACCAAAGGATAATCACCCAAAAATCTATTAATCAAACCCACAATAGTTTGCAAAACATGTAAATTTCCTTTTATTCATAGAGGAACCATCAGATTACATATAAAGTATCGCCATCTTTAACTGGACATCCAATTTATATGTCAAAAAATACTAATAAGTTAAACCAAAAAATCAACGTCCATACAAAAGCCAAAATATAGTGAAGCAAGCTTAAAAATGAAAAAAAAAATGAAAATTTAAAATTGAACAGAAAAGCCATGTATTATCATGGATGTACAAATATACGACAGTCTATAAAAAAATACTAAAGCAAAATCACAAAATCATCATAAAATATGAAACCATTTTAAACCAGTAAAACAGCAAAAGAATGTTCATTTTGTAGAAATAATTCATTACCATGGCATTGCTGTTTCCTTCCAGATTGACATACATGTCACAATTTATGATTGTTTGGTTTGTAGAAACTCTTCTGCGCTTGTTACGAGATGACCTTTCTTCTGCAATAATATAAATGAAGTCAATCTGCAATCTCCCAGAAAATAAGATCAAAAAGAAGAAAGGCAACTCCAGATGATATAAGTGGAAGGCCATAAATCAGAAGAAGCAAATAAACCAGACCAATTGAGTTCCATTGAGTTCAATAACAGGAAAAGTTCACTTACACCTATAAACTTTTCAGAAGATGTCAAAAGAAATTACTCTTGAGTTTGTGGCATAAAAAATGTATAAAGGCACAACATGAAGAGAAAGACTTTACCTAACAAAATTGAGAGCTACTAGACATATTGATGCCATGGACCATTTTTCTTCTTTTTCTTTACAGAATTGGCACCAATATAGTGAAATTACTCAACCAGACAATTGTATAAAAAATTATGAACACCCCAGGACAATAAAGGCTAATAGAGGGAATAGTACTTGAAACAACTAATTAAATGATGATAAATTAAAGCCACAACTCATTCTCAAGCAACTTTTGAGAGAATAGGTCCAAGCAAAATTCATTAATCAACTATTAAGCAGCATTCCATGCTTTTGTTAGCACTGGATGTCGAAGAATGAATTT